GACCGGTGCACCCCACGTACTGCCAGCTCCAGGCCCAGATTCTCCCCGCGGCCCTTCCCTGCGGCTCTTTGCTACCCTGTGAGTCCCACTCTGCCTTCTGAAACCGGCTCTGAATAAACCTCCTGATGCTGTACTCCGCCCCCTCCCAAAATGTGGCCTGCCTTGTCATTTCCTTTCCAGTGTCTTTTAACGAACAAGGTTTTGCAGAGCAAGTTCTTAATTTAAGTCCAATTTATCAATTTTTAAATGGATTAGTACTTTTTATGTTGTACTCAAGATCATGAAGATATTCTCCTATATTTTCAAGAAGACTTTGCTTTTACGCTTAAGCCTACAACGCATCTAAAATTATTTTCTGTATATGGTTCTAGGTAGCGATTGAGACTCATGTTGCTTAATACATTCACCCAGTTTTTCCTGCACACGTTGTTGAAAACTCTTATTTCCTCCCTGAATTGCTTTGATGTCAGAAGATCAGTTGACGGTATACATGTGGGTCCACTTCAGACATCTGGTCTGTCCACCTTTGTCTACTCACTGCCAGTACCTCACTGCTTTGATTATTTTAGATCTTTATTATGTTTTGAAAGTAGCATGACTCCTTTGACTTTGTTCTTTTTCAAGACTGTTTGACTGTTTTAGGTCCTTTGCATTTCCATATAAATTTTAGAACGAAGCTGTTAATTCAGAAAGTCTGCTGTGATTTTTATTGGGGTTGCATTGAACTATAGATCACTTTGAAGGAGAAATGACTTCACAATATTGAGTCATTTATAAACATGATTTCTCTCCACTTGTTTGGGTTTGTAGGTATGTGAGGCTACTGTAAATACTATTGTCATTGGGCTGTCCAATCGATTTGTGCTAGCGTATAGAAATACAATTGATTTTTTTAGAATTTGGCAGCTTTAGTGAGGTATAATTTACATACCATAAAGAATGTTTTTAATCTACAATTTAGTGTGTTTTTAAATAAAAGTATACGGTTGTAAAACTGCCTCCTCCAGTTTTAGAGCCTTTCTGCCACTGCAGAGAAGCCTCCTTGTGCCTGTTTGCACCATCCTCGCTCCCAGCCCAGGCCATGCAGCCACTGACCTCCCTTCTGTCTCTGTGCTTTGCCTTTCTAGAAACATCATATGCATAGAATTCAATAAACCTTATCTTACAAGTCTGGCTCCTGTAACCTAGCACAATATTTTTGTGGTGCATCTATACCATTGCATTAGATACTTCTTTTTTTATTGCTGTTAGTGTTCCATTCTATGGACTTAGCACATTTTGTTTATCTAGTCACCAGTTGGTGGACCTTTGGATGTTTCTAATTTAAGCTATTATAAATACCCATGGTATAACATTAGCATGCAAGTTGTTTTGGTTTTTTTTTTCAAATATTCTTTTTTTTTTTTTTTTTTCTGGTAATGGGGATCGAACTCAGGACCTTGTGCTTTCAAGGCAGGCGGTGGAAACACTGAGCTAAATCCCCGGCCCCTAAGTTTTTATGAGTGTCTTTTTAATGCTTATTTTTATCAGCGCATGTTACAGTGCATAGTGATTGCGTTCCTCGTGGGGAACTGGTGCGTGTGCCCAGCACATCTTCATTGTTTTGCATCCCTTTCCCTCCTCTCCTTCCCCTCGCCTCTGTTTCTTGGTCCCCTTCACCATCTCCATTTTTCCTATTGTCTGTCTTTTATTTTGCTCTCTGTTTATATTTTGGGTTGCTCCTGTAAGAGAAACCATGCAGTATTTAAGCTTGTGTGTCTGGTGTATTTCATGTGTGGACATATGTTTTCATTTCTCTTGGATATATACTTAGGAGTGGAATTTCTGGCTTCTATAGTAAATCAGTGTTTGACTGAGGAATTGCTATACGATTTTCCAGAGTGGCTACACCATTTTTCATTCGCATCAGCAGTGTGTGAGAGCTCCGCTTTCCCCACATCCTAGTCAACGCTTATTGTTAACTGTCTTTTTTATGACAGCTGTCCTTGTGGGTGTGAAGTAGTATCTAATTCTGGTTTTAATTTGCATTTCCATTATACCTTAGGATGTTGAGCATCTTTTCGTGTGCTTACTGGCTTTTGTATATCTTCTCTGAGAAGTGTCTACTCATGTCCTTCGGCCATTTTTTAAATTGAGGTAAAATACAAGTAACATAAAATTAACCATCTTAAAGTATACAGTTCAGCACATTTCATATATTCAAAATGTTGTGTGAGTATCACATCTATCTAGTTGTAAATAGTCTCATTACTCCAAAGGCCCCCACTCCCATTAAGTAGCCACTGCCCATTTCCCTGATCCGAGCCCCTGTCAATCACTAATTTACTTTCTGTCTCTATAAATTTACCTATTCTGTAATTTATGTAAATGAATTACTATTTGGCCTTTTGTGTCTGCTTTCTTTCATTGAACATAATGTTTCTGGGATTCACCTATATTGTAGCATGTATCAGTGCTTTCTCCCTTGTTTCTTTTTTCTTTTTGGTCCCGGGGATCAAACTCTGGACCTTGTGCTTGTGAGGCAGGCGCCCGAACCACTGAGCTAAATCCCCGCCCCTACTTTCTCCCTTTTTATGACTGAGAAATATAGCACATCTGTTTACCCATTCATCAAGTAATGGAAACTTGGATTATTTCCACCTTTGGTTATTATGAATGGTGTTGCTATGAACATTTACATACAAGTATTTGTTTGAATGCTTGTTTTCAATTCTTTTGGATATGTACACAGGAATGGAATTGTCAAGTATTATGGTAATTATTATGGTAATTCTACTTTCTGAAGAATATTAGACTTTTTTCCAAAGCATTTAGCTTACTTTTAAAATGAGTTCTATTATTAAGTTGCAGTAGTTCTATGTCCTAGATACCAGTGTCCCTTATGAGATACATGATTTGCAAATGTTCTCTTCCATTCTCTAAGTTGTCTTTTCACCTTCTCAATAGTGTTCTGTGATCCATAAGATATTTTTTCTCTCATTCTTCTTATCCCTCTTCCCCTCCCTCTCTTCCTTTTCCTCCTCCTTCTTCTTTTGTAGTATTGGGGATTGCGCCCTGAGTTATGTCCTCAACCCTTTTGAAAATGAAATGTTTTAATTTTGATAATGTCTAATTTACTTATTTTTTGCTTGTGTTTTTGGTGTCATATCTAAGAAACCATTGTCTAATCTGAGGTCACAACAATTTACCTCTGTGTTTTCCTCTAAGAGTTTTATAGTTTTAGATCTCTTATCTATTTTAGTTAATTGTATATGAGATAAAAGGGGGTCCGACTTTATTCTTTTGCATTTGGGAATCTAACACTACCAGCACTATTTGTTGAAAGACTGTTCTTTGTCCCATTGAATGGCCTTAGGAAAATCAACTGATCATAAATGTGAGTATTTGTTTCTGCATTCTCAGTTCTGTTCCATTGATTTATGTTGTCTATTTTTATGCCGATATCACAGCATCTAGATTACTGGAGCATCGTTGTAAATTTTTAAATCAAGGGAAGGGAGCCTTCAACTTCTTCTTTTCTAAAAGATTATTTGGCTAGTCTGCATCCCTTGCATTATCATATAAATCTTAGGATCACTTTGTCATTTGTCATTTTCTGCAAAGAAGTCAGCCAAGATTTGATAGCATTAAATCTGTACATCACTTCGAGAGGCATTTCCATCTTAACAATTTCTGATCCATGAACAAGGGATCTCTTTCCATCTATTTTGATGTTTGACTTCTTTCAACAGTGTTTTGGATTTTTAGAGTATACATTTTCCACTTCATTTGTTAAATTGTTAAATGGTATTTTTACCATTTTAATTGCATTTTCCCATTGTTCTTTATTTGCCCTATAGAAATTCAATTGAGTTTTAAAAATTGACCTGTTCTCAAGCCTTGCTAAGTTTACATGTTTGTTCTACTTTCTTTGCAGAAACTGTAGGATTTTCTGTGTAAATGATCATGTCATGAACAGTTAAAGACACTACCTTCTTGTATCGAATCTTTATGCCTTTTTTTTAAACCAACTTCACTGGTTAGCAGTTCTAGTAAAGTATTGAATAAAAGTTGTGAGTACATGCAGCCTTTCTCCTGATCATCAGAGGAAAGCATTCAGTTGTCACTAAGTATGACATAAACGATGGGGATTTTTTAGCCTTCCTAGTTTTCATAAGGACTCTACCCTGTTTAAAATCAGGACACACCAACAGTAATGCTGGGACTTTTAGAAGAAAGTGACTGTGATATTTATTCAAGACAAATTTCCAAGCATAAGACAGAAATCCAACTCACAATAAAATAAGCAAAAAGGAAAATGTTGCCGTGTGATAACACCCAGGAGTCAATATGCCTCGGGTGCAAAGGGATCTGGGAACAGAAGTGTCACCAGGAAAATGTCTCTCTCCATCTCTTGACTCATTTTTACATATTGGCTGCAGCTTCTGCAGATTCCCACCATCACCTCTCACCACCTCATTTTGCCAAATGCCAACTACAACTCCAGACTTACAACCAGCCAACTTAGAACCTTAGCAAAAAGAAAGAATTCTATTTTTTCAATATTTCTAAAAGAATGTTCTCGGAACTCATTATTTGACCACCTCAGGTCACATGGCCATCTGGGAACCACCTTCTGGGGCCAGGGGAATGGAGCACCCCAGTGGTTAGGCCCGAGCCACATGCTCTTGGAACCAGGGGGTGGGGGGGGTCAGCTGAATCCCAAGGGAAAATCAAAATATTATCATCAGAAAATGAGAGACCAGGTCCCAGCCGGAAATAAACCACAGGGCCCCATGCTCTTCTACAGGATCTCTCAGTGCTCCAAGTCTGGAGCTATCACTGGGCTCCTTTGTTCTCGGTTTCCCCACTCATGGGCTCCAAATAATGATCCCTTCCTTTTCTTGGACACAGAGCTGTGTCCAAGCTGTGAAGTGCGGTGCACACACACGGGACGGGTCATAGGAGTGATGGCTAAGCAGCTGCTCTGATCCACCTGACCTCTTCTGTCTTCCTCCTAGAGCACCTGAAGAAGCCACTTGAGGACTACATGGCCCTCTTCCCCAATGTGCGGATTCTCCGCACCAAGAAACGTGAAGGCCTGATAAGGACTCGCATGCTGGGGGCTTCAGCAGCTACTGGGGACGTCATCACTTTCCTGGACTCGCACTGTGAAGCCAATATCAACTGGCTTCCCCCCTTGCTCGGTAAATGGGAGGGAGGCAGCCTGGAGTGAGCCACCTGCCCCCTACTGCCCCCTACTGGCTGCAGGGCATCACCCATGAGGGCTCCCCTGCCCATTGGAGGACCCAGCAGAAGGCCAGGCGCCATACAGGAGTGAGAGGGTCCTGAGTGCTCGGAGAGGCCTTAAAAGTCCAGTCCATCCGGTCCTTCATTCCACAGAGAGGGAAAGTGACGAGTGTCTAGTGGCAGGACTGTTTCCCTCAGAGGGCTCTACATTTCAGACGGCCACACCTGGCTTCCGTTTAAGAACCAAATGGCGGGCGGTATGTTTCTGTCAAGTTAGAACAGCTACCGTTCACTGCCCCACTGCTGGGAGCCAGGCAGGTGCCAAGCATGATCACTGATCCCATGAAAGCATGCCGGGCTAGAGGTGTCCCCTCTCTGTAGTAACAGAAACTGAAGTTCAAAGATAGCAGGGCACTTGCTTGTCCCTGGGGCCACCAGTGTCAAAGTCACCATCTGTCTGGTTCCAAAGTCTGCTCTCTTTCAAGTTGCACACTGCCTCCCAAGCTCACTTCCTCTCGAGGAGTTCCTGGCAGAGGCTAGGGTAGGGCCGCCAAGGCCAGCACGGCTCTAGAGCCGCCGCCGTCACCACTGACGGGCGCATGAGGACTGGGTGCTGGCATGAGGTGCCCTGCGCTGGCACAGCACCAGGCCTGGACCCTGAGGAGTCTGCTCTGAGGAAGGTGGCGAGCGGGCACTGGCAGACACAGGAGAGGAGGCTTTCTGCTGAGACTGGGCGCCAGGTCGAGGCAGGGCTGAACAGGCTGGGAAGGAGTTGCCAGTGTGGAGAGGAAAGGGAAGCCCCCAGCAATCCATGGGAAGCTGTCCATCAGAGGGCCCAGGACCAAGAGGATGGAAGTGGAGGATGTAGTTCTGCCCCCGCCTCAGGGGTTCCAGTTCAGCAGTCAGGGAGGGCCTAACCGGATGCTTGACTAAGCAGCTCCCGAGCGGCTCCCATGCTGAGCTGAGGAGGAGCAGCTAGCAGATGCCACCATGGAGGGGAGGGGTCCGGCAGCCAACCTCACACTGTACAACAGGATGATCCAGCAGACCAGCGGGGAATTTCATTATCGGATTATGGGCTTCTGACACCCAAGGGCCAGCATCTTCAGTGGGTTAGGACAAAGAGGTAACTCAGTATTTCTGGTAAACTGTTTATTTAATTAAACCAAGCAGTTGTCTGCATCTGCCTCTCATTACTGAGAGAGAGAAAGCCTCAGCATAAATCACCTAATTTATAGTCCTGAAGGAGCAGCCCATTTGGAGGGTCATCCAGTAACTCCTAGAGGGAATGAGGCAGCGGGGTGCGAGCCTGAGCTTGTATCTAAATAGCCCTTAACTCTGTTTCTATGGAAATGTATGAGGGCAATTTTCATAATCTGCCGACGTGCACGGAAGAAACATCCACCCTTTTTTCTTGTTCTTTTTCCAATAGAGATGTGAACCCATGGTGTAGATTTAAAAGTCTCTCCCTCTAATATCAGTAACTGACAGAGCGCAGCATGGCTTTTGTCTGTGAAACCATTAACACCTCCAGGCATCGCTCGTTCTGCCTTCTTTAGAGATGAGACATTCTGATGCTGAGAAGGATTCACCCCCCTACACACACACACACACACACACACACAAGGAAATCTGCTTCCGACCATCGTCATAGTCATCATCATCATCATAATCTTCTTCGAATGACAGTGATAGTCCCTTAGCAGTTTAGGGCATGTCCACATTTAAATCTGACTGATACACAGTAAAGCAGGCAGGCTAGGCATCTTCATCCACATTTTGCAAATGAGACAACTGAGGGGCAAAGAAAATGAGGGAGATGCTCAGTCTTCCAACTCCTGCTTCTGGGCTTCTTCCAGTCCCCGTAGTCAGGGAGAAGGTGCTGGAGGCTGCACTAAGCATTTTGGCTCCATAGTCTGCTCAGTCTTCACAGAAACTCCATGAAAAAGGTGATGCCTTCCTCCATTTTGTCAGCTTTCTTGTTGCTGAGGTACAGTCCCTGACACCCACAACCTTCATTTGTTCATGGTTTCAGGGGATTCAGTCCATGGTCAGCCGGCTCCAAGGCAGAAGCATCAGAACAGGGGAACAGTGCCAGACAGGAAGGGGAGAGGACCGAGATTTGGTTCCCAAGGTCACACCTCCTGACCCACCCGACATACCCAGAAATGAGCTCTAATCCCTTGGATGCCCCCAAACAATCATATTGACACAGCAAACTTAGTCACCACAGGAACTGAGGACCAGAGGCATCAGATCACCTTACCCAAGGTTCTACTGCTCACAGGTGCAAAACCACGACTTAAGCTGGGCATTTTCTGTTTCCAAGCAAGTACAGTGCCATGAATTCTGCCTTCTCTTGCTACCTTGACCCCGACCTCCCACAGTCAACCAGCAGCCAGCAGGGACTGTGTCTCAGTGCCGACCCTCCTTGGAAGTACAGTCCCCAGAATGCACATGAATAATTAAGAAGTGGTCCCCTTCTCTACCTCTTTCCCTGCAAAAGATTGCTAAGTATATCATTAAAAATCCTCAGTGAAGCCTGACATGGTGCTACATACCTGAAATCCCAGCACTCTGGGAGGCTGAGGCAGGAGGGTGGCAAGTTTAAACTCAGCCTGGGCAACCTAGTGACTTAGTGAGGATCCTGTCTCACAATTTAAAAATATAAAAAGGGCCAGGATGTAACTTAGTGCAAAGGCCCTGAGTTCAGTCCCCAGTACTGCAAAAATAAATCAACCAACCAACCAACCTCAGGGAGCCTGTCCACAGGCACTGCCAGGGATTCTGATCCAGTCGGCCTGGGCAGAGGCAGGGTTGGGGACTCTCAAACACCATCCAGGTGCACCTGGCTCTGGTGGCCCCAGGCCATGCTTGGATCCTCGGGGGTACACTGCCAAAAGCAACATTTCTTAGTTTTTTAAACTACGCATCATAGCTAGAAATACACTGGACATCTCAATTGAATACACAAATGCACACATTCATGAAATATGAATAAGGCACGTCCCCTGAAATCTCTTCATCTGTCACTGTATCCTTTATCAGCTGGAAGGCAGCCTCATATTCAGTACTCTTTTTTTGTTGTTGTTCATTACAAACACACACACACAGTTGAGCCAGGGATTTAGCTCAGTGGTGCCGCCGCCTGCCTCGAAAGCACGAGGTCCTGAGTTCGATCCCCAGTACCAAAAAACACACATTTGCATGCACAGAGTTGATTTCGTGACTCCCTGATGTGTTGTCTCTTCACTTTAGAAAAAGGCAATAGTGCTGCTTTCTGTCATAAAAGAAAAATGTATCATAGCTGTTGAAATCTGGGTCCTGGTACCTGCTGGTCCACTCTGGCCCTACAGGGCTCCCCACTGCAAGTTCGAACTTGACTCCTGGCCCAAAAGAGCACACCCCACTCACCCCTTATGGTTGATCATCTGCCCTGGCAGCTGGCCAGAACCCCTTGGCTTCAGACAGGACTTCCTATCAGGAAGAGCACTGAAGGCTGAGCAGAACAAAACTAGAATGCTCTTTGCAGGCTGGGCAGGCAGTGACTCATACAGAATCACTCCTTTCTCCAGGGCCTCAAAGGGACCATGAGGCTACCTAAGTCAAAGCCTTGGTTGGCCTTCATAGCATTCCGGCAGGACCAGTGGTCCACCAGGCTCTGCCTGCCTCCCTCCAGGTTTGGGGAACAGTCTGCTCTCTCCTGCGCTTCTGACTGAAAACCTGAGCTGAACTCTCTTGAGGAGGGCCAGATACCGGCTGCCCGCAGCTGTGAGGTCAGACCATCTGAGGAGGGCCGGTGCTGGAAGGCCTAGCTGCTTGGGGCTGTGAGTCAAGATCAGGACTTGCAATCCCAGGAAGGCAGGCAGGGCCAGCAGCGGGTCCTCCCAGAAGGAGACCGTCTCTTCCCATTAGAGGCCTCTGGGAGCTCCGTGACACACTGCTGTGTCCGTCGTTGTGGTACCTGAGGCTGACCCTCCCCCGCCATTCCACAGAGGGCACTGGGACTTGGAGACCCTATCAGTAGAACTGCCTCAGGACCCTGTCGTGGGAGGCACGTCTGGGATAGGGTTCCCGGTCCCCCTTGCTCAGAGCCTGTACCTGCCTTCCTCTTCGTGGATTCTCAGGCTCAGGTATTCAGAGATTTCACCCAGGGAGCGTGTTACAAATCAGAGTAGCCACGGAATGAGACTGGACACTTAGTTTCTGCCTCGACTAATGGGGATCTCTTGGCTGCTTCAGACCGCATCGCCCGGAACCGCAAGACCATCGTGTGCCCAATGATCGATGTGATTGACCATGATGACTTCCGGTATGAGACGCAGGCAGGGGATGCCATGCGGGGTGCCTTTGACTGGGAGATGTACTACAAACGGATCCCGATTCCTCCAGAGCTGCAGAAGGCTGACCCTAGTGACCCGTTTGAGTAAGTATGAGTGACTCGGGCCCCTGGCAGGGGTCGGGCCCATGACCCCTTCCCAGGACACACACGGCTGTGTCGCCACCTCCCCTAGCCCCAGGGCAGAGGGTCCAGATGCCTGGCCTCACTCAGAACCAGATGTCAGACTCCCCCGCCAGAACTATCCTCCTTTTCACTTGTCACAGCCTCGCTCCTGGGCTACCAAGCTGGCCATCTCCACGCTGATGACCTCTGTGAAGTTTACCATGGGGGCCAGAAGGGTGAATAGTCAGTCACTCGTGCTCTGTCCCTTTCCAGCCCGGAACCCAGATGTAACCATCATCTTCATCTTCCCCGTATGACAGGAACAGTGCAGAACACATTGCACCCTGATCCAGTTTAACACCCAACCACTGATAGTAAGAATCATCACCTGTGTTTTCCAGACAAGGACACCAAAGCTTCAGGAGGCTACATAACTCACTCAGGTCACACAGCCATTAAGTGGCAGTGCAGCTGTGAGTGCTGGTCCGGGTCGCTGTTTCCCCATCATTCTGTTACACCCCCGTGTAAGTGCTGAAGAAATGGCAGCTTGTCCCACAGCAGAAGTTTAGGAGGTGTGGACTGGATGCACAGCATCTTAGAAAGTAAAAAATGGAGTGAACCTACCATGAAGGACTCGACGACCCCTTGCAGATGGGGAAACTGAGGCCACAGGAAGAGGAGGGCTTGCCCTGGGGTGCCTCCCTGGACTCCACGCTGTTCCTCAGCAGTAGGCTCTCACCCCTGCAGCTGCCATGGGAGCTCTCCTAGCTCTCTTGCCAGATGTGTCAAAAAGACCTTGGATTTAAACCCAAGGCCAGGCTTTTTGGCAGTATTTGTCCCTGTGGGTGCTATACTTATGGGAGACTTAGTAGCTTCCAACCATACTTGAAGTTCTGATGGTCAGAAGTCTAAAATGAGCTTGCTGGGCTGAAATCATGGTGCTAGCAGGGCTGTGTTCTTTCTGATGCTCTCGGGGAGAATCCTTTCCCTTGTTTTTCCCAGAGAGATGCTCGTGGTCCTTGGCTCCTGCCCCTGCCTGTCCTCAAAGCCGGAAGCATGGTACCCTCATATCTCTCTCCCCTTCCCTCTTTCCTTCCCCCCTCACACACACCTCTGCTTCCACCCTCTCATCACCTCTTTTTCTGACTCTCCTGACTCCTGCTTCCATCATAAGCCCTTGCGATGACCCTGACCACATGTGACTGCCCTGGGCTCTCATCCAAGCTCTGAAACCCGATGGCATCTGCAGTCTCCTCTGCTGTATGAAGTCACGCATTCATAGGTTCCAGGGATCAGGACGGCCACCCCTGCTTCGCCACAGCTGAGCCCTTAGTGAACCCCAAGTCCTCTGTGCCTTCCCCTCCCAGCTAAAAAGGGGGTTGTCGGTGGCTCAGCCTTCTTCATGGCACTGTGCACATCCAGGATTGCTAACGGGGGCCTGCAACACTGTGAGTGCACGGAAGGCTGAGAAATGGGGAAACCAGGATTCTTCATGGAAATGGTAGACAGCCAGGCGATGGGGCACCGTGGAGCAGAGTCCGTGTGTTTCTTCAGTGGGTCAATTGTTCGCAGTCTTCTCCTGACCTCCTTAATCTGAAACATGCTTGCTCACTACCATTAAGATCCCTTCCTACTCTGGAGATGGGATTCAGCCAAGACCACATCGTGCTGCCAGCCCCTGCCTCGTCCACCTCAGAGTCAGTCCTCAGTTCTCCTGAATTCTTGGAGAATAAGACTAATAGAAGGAGGAACTAACACTTGGCCTGCGGCGGCAAAGCAATTTCAACCAACATTATGGAGCATGAGCCTTACAGCAGGGTCCTCTGGGATGGGCGGCTTTGTCCTCATTTGACTGCTGCAGACCCTGCAATTCAAAGAGCAAATGAGACTCCCACTGACCTCACCCTAGAGCGGTGCCTCTCTCCCTGGGTACACATTGGCATCACCAAGGGAACTTGCAAGCTCCCAGGCCATGCTCCAAATTACACCAGAGTCTAAGCATGGGAGGCAGGCGTCGTTTTTTCATAAAGCCCCCCAGGTGCTGCTGCTGATGGCCAGGGAGGAGACCCACTGCCCTAGACGCTTTCTGAAGCATTTTCTGTCTTTGTGTCCTCAGACTCTCCCCCAGAAGCCTCTCTTCTGTGTTGCACTTGGACAAAGCCCCAGGGAGTGGCCACCAGAGAGAGCCCAGTCATGCTCCATGCTCCTCCCCACAGTGCCCAGCCACTGGGCACTCTGCGGCCCCGCAGTGGTGTAACGATGTTTGGAAGACTCGGGTTTTGGTGGCAGACCCCAGTTTGCATTGCAGCTCATGCGGTTACTAACTGCATGCCCTTGGGCAGATTTTATAGCATTTCTCAATTTCAAATTTCTCCACTTGAAAAGGGGACCAGTAGTAACAGAGCCTTGTGAGAGCCGGAGAGAATGTGGGCAAAGTGAAAGGCGCATGCTAGACACTCAAAAGCGTTGTTGTTGTTATTATTGCTGAACACAGCGGAGAGGGAACAGGCCGGGAGGAGAGGCCTCTGAGATGCACAGCCACAAGCCCTCAGCATGCCACAAGGCTAATCTCCTGCCTTCCCCTCGCCAGCCCTGCTGCGGGCTCTGGTCCAGGCCACTTGTCCTGTGCAGTCTCGGGTCTGACGTCTGAGCAGAACCAAGTGAGACAGTCTCTGCTTGTCCAAGCCTGCAGTTCCCTCCAGCAAAGAAACCCCAAATCCCACAATGTTCAGAAAACAAAGGGGAGTGCACCTGTCACCTGTTCTGCTGCAGTGCTGGATACTTTTAGAAATACACTGGCAGTGTGGGGTAGATGGGACTTGTGGAGATGAGACTCAGGCTCCAAGACTGATTCACCACTGAACAGTATCACTCAAGCCACATATGTAGTTTTAAGTTTCCTAGTAGCCACATTTTTTTTAAAAGAGAAAGAGAAGGGCTAGGGGTGTAGCTCAGTGGTGGAACATTTTACCTACAAGGTCCTGGGTTCAATCCCCAGCACCAAAAAAAAATAATAATAACATTCATTTGCATACTATATGTCATTTAAACAAGCATATCTAATATTATTTGATCTGCTACTCATGCTAGAAGTACAGATGAGTTCTTTTAGACTCCTGTCTTCATGCCAAGTCTTGTGGATCCCGTGTGTATTTTACACACCCGGTGCATGTCCATTTAGCCCAGTCTGGTTTCCGGTGCTGTCCTCACCGCTGACCAGTGGCTCCTGTCCCAGGCAGCACAGGGCCAGTGGTTAAACATTGCATCTCGGTGACACAGCAGGTCGAGGACAGCAGAGACTGCAGTGAGGACGCCCCAGTTTCTGACCCCCATCCTGTCCGCCGTCCTCCTTTGTTCCGTCCTGGCAGTGAGGGCTGCGGGTGGACTGTGGGTTACAGGACAGATTCCAACCACCACCCTTGTGGCAGTGGACCCTGAAGGACGGTGCCAGCTTCACACATGCAACGTGGGGGTGACGAGAGTGAGGACTGCCTCATGAGGTCATTTTAGGGATGGAAGTTCAGTGTAGTGCCTCCCATCTCCAGCCCTCCATAAATACTCAAAGGATCCCCTTTTCCAGGAGGCCCCTCTGAGAGGCCATCTGTCCCGGAAGGGTGGGTTGAGTGAGAAGTGTTGGCATCAGCCTACTTATCATGAACTTGCAATTCCAAGGGCCCGGAAGGGGTGGGGCTGCCGCGGGAAGTCCTGCTGGCATTTTCCAGCGGAGGCTGCCTCGGCCGTTCATAGATCTCCACACAGTAAACACTGCCCGGGACTCCAGCAGGCAACATGCATCCCGGGGGACTTAGTGTGTCTGCTGACTTCCTGTTCCCCGGGTCCCCTCAATTTGTCGCCTTTGTGCCCTCCTGGGTGCCTTCCCTTTAGGCCCGTCTCCCTTGTCCAGATGCTCTGGAACGCTGTTTCCTCTGAGCCCTGCCTCCCTCCTCCCCAAAGCTGGAGCACACACACTCGCTGCACCTTCTGCAAGTGCGCTTGCCTGCACCCCAGCGGCCCTGGTCACCCTGCACCTGATCTTCTGGATCCTCTGCCCCAGGCGGCTGTCACACTACACAGCATCCCCTGAGGGGCCGTGGTTCAGCTCTCTTTCCCCAGCACCTGCTTCCCATGGCCCTCGGTGAATGAACCCACGAGGGAATGAAGGGATGGAGGTCACCTCACCGCCCAGTTCCACTGAAAGATCAGAGGCAGTGGCTGCTTCTAGAAACCTCGCGGATCCTCGGAGAAGCGTGCTGCAAAGCACAGGCTCCCGAGGTCATTTCAGTAGGTCTGGCAAGCAGTATCCCTTTTCATCTAAGAGATTCTGCAGCAGACAGGCTTGGGGACACCTGATTTGGACCCTTTAACTAATGGGAAAACGATGCCCCAGGCCCACGGGAGAAAAGCACCACTGTGATTTCGTGTCACAAGTCTTCCCAGGTGTTAATCCTGTGAACGAGCTTTGGGTCCATTTGGTAAAGACACAGCACTGGTGAGAAGCGGTGGGCAAGGACGGAAGCCTGGACTCGAAGCACAGCTGTGTTCTCGGGGCAGCGTGGAGCAGCAGTGCCCTCGGCTGCGACGCGTCCACCAGACGCCCGTGTCCTCACGCCTTGTTCTCCTCTGACAGGTCTCCCGTGATGGCCGGTGGGCTGTTCGCTGTGGACCGGAAGTGGTTCTGGGAGCTGGGCGGGTACGACCCCGGCTTGGAGATCTGGGGCGGAGAGCAGTATGAAATCTCCTTCAAGGTGAGCCTGTGCACCGGGACCCCCTTCTTCTGGTCCACCTCGGCCCCCTAACCCTGGCAGGCTGCCCGCTAGCATCTGAGCCTGGGCGGACTGGAAGCATTAGGGTTCTGTAGCCCGCTGCTCCTCAGGGGAGAAGTCAGGGACCAGGGACCAGCGTGCGCGTGCGTGCGTGCGTGCGTGTGTGTGGTGAAGGTGGAGGCATCATAGGGGGCCTCCCAAGGTCGCCGGAGGCCTTGGCCATAACTCTTAGCAGCATTCACCTCTTCTGAAGATGCTGGAATAGGAGAGGTCTCACTTCCGGTAGAGTCGGGTGTCTTTGAGGGAGATGCCCCACAAGACAGCCATGGGAGAGGAGCCAGGAGGCACAGGCTGCGGAGTGCTCTCCAAGTGGCTGTGTGGTCTGGGATTCCCCCTGGCCTCGCTGGTTCCTGGCCGCCCCTCCCAGGGTTTCCCTTTTATGTCTCACTGCAGGAGACCAGGGGATGAAAGCTCCAGATGGGGAGTCACAAAGCCTGGGTTCAGACCCCAGTTCCTGTCAGTAGCTGTCTGACAAGTTAGATTACTTCCCCAGCTTTCTTTCCTCATCTGAAGTAAAGGAATAATGGTATGACTGGCTTAAGTAACTCATGTGAAGATTAGATGAGATAATATCTAGGAAGTGCTTAGTGCTTAACCTGGGAACATGGCCAGCAGCTAGTAATTGGCAGACACTGTGAAAGATTCCGTGAGTAAATATTTACTCTGGCCTATTTGATCGGCCCATAGGCTACGGAAGCTTGAGTCCACAGTCTCCTCCTTGTGGAATTCTGCCCTGTTCAGCCCCTGTGCGGAGATGGCAGGCTTCTCCTGGCCCTGTGGCCCCAGCACCGCCAGCCTCCAGCGTGACCACCCAGCTGCAGCCAAGCCCCAGCCCCGTGGGAGGGCAGCAGCATGACTGCGCTCCCTGTGGCAACACGGAACCCTGTCCCCCTCAGCTGCCGCCAAGCTCCCACCCAGGGCCTGCTCGGCCATGTGGTGATGGGGACTCGTCCTAGGGCTGGCTGCCTCTTCCTCCCGTGTATCCTGGGTGGGCGTCCTCCCCACGAGCCGCAGTCTCTGCTTCCATAAATGACACAACCCTCACGGGGTTGTCTCAAAAGTTAAATGAGACTGTTTGTTAGGTGCTTTTTAATAACTATCCTAAAGCTTATTAACGTTAGCAATGTTTGTATTATCTTCAACAATGCTGGGTGAGCAGTTCGGAACTGGGCCACATAAATTCTTGATTGGGGGGGGGGAGCAACCACCAGGAATTCTGCTGAAGCATTTTGGTTTGAAAAGCAGCCCGCATCTGTTCTAACTTCCCGATCTCTGAAACTATCTCCTGTGAGGAGACAGCCACCCAAGTAAGACTAATGCTCATATCCAGAGGTAATATTCAAAATATTTAACAGCTGCGATGGCACAGTTAACAGCCAGTCGGAACAGATGCCAGCCGTAAACAATGACACCCGCTCCAGCGTGTCACTGCTGAAGGGAAGCCCTGGTCCGAACTTCCGGAACAGTGCGCCAAGCCTGCTGGGCTGTGTAACCCTCCCAGCAGCCCACAGGGTGGTCGCATGTTACCCCCCTCACATGAAAGCCAGTAAGGCCCCAAACATAGAGGTCACTGCCACCAGCCTGCCTACCTCTAAACCCCACGCTGTCGCCTGCTAGGTTTGTTTCTCGTGCCTCCTCGGGAACATCGGGGAGCAGCAGCTGGGAAGACAGTGCCTGAGAACCTGGGTGCAGTCACTCGCCCTGCTGCTCAGCTCTCGCTTCCCCTGGGGTTACCCCCGCCCGCTGGGGTGCTCTGCAGTCTTGGTGAATGGCGCAGCAGCAGCCCGGTCAGAACAGCACACAGGGCTCCTCTCCCACCCAGCACGGGCCCCACGCTCATCAGAAGAGCGGTGTGTGGAGTGATGCCTGCTGCGGGTGCAGGGCTGGTGAGTGGGCGCACAGGTGATTTGTGTAATATCCCTAGTGGGTGGAATCTAGTTTTGCATGTAATGCATTCTGTGGGTACAGTGAAGTCATCCATCCCCAGGGAATCACAGGAGTTTGAACTCCACAGCTCCCCCAATCTGTCATTCTTCTGAGTTGTTTCCACATTGGGCAGGATGTAAGCTTCAGTGAGACAGGGATCGTCTTGTGTTCTACTCACTGCCGTCTGAGTACCTGAGGCTGCCTGACACGGAGAGGCACTTGTTAGGTGGTCGAGTGGTGACAGTAGCTGTGCCGCTGGCCAGCACCAGCTCCTGGCTCCTCAGCCTCGATGTCCCCCTTCAGAAACTCCTCCCGGGAGAGCAGAAGGAAGAGACAGGTGCACAAAGGAATCTCTGGGCCCAGAATGACTTCCTTCTGTGGGTCTCAAAAACCCATCTATACTGCTCATCAGGCAATTATGATGGAACAAGAGGCATTTTTCTCCACAGTTTATTTACAAAAGCCTTAGTCACGAAGCCGTATTGGGAGTGCTCATTCGAGAGAGAGGAGGAGGCTGGCTGGACTTGCCCTGCTGTCCAACTGTGTCTGTCTCTCTCAGCGGGAAAGGAGACGGGGTAACAAGGGCCCCTGAGGCTGGCAGGGGACCGCTCCCTGGCCCTCCTCTGCCTCTGGTGACACAGGTTCCCGGAGCCCACAGCAGCTGTGTGCCCATGTGTTCTGCTCACTGGTCACTGGCCTGAGGGCACCCATGTGCCCGCCTGCCTGGCAGCGCTGCCCACTGACACAAAGCACAGCCAGCTGCCCCCAAGGCCGAGTCTGCTCTGATTAAGCACTGCTGAGGTCCCTATTCCTCTTAATGACAGAGGAAGGAGACTGCTCTGAAAAGCACAAGCGTATTCTCAGAAATTAAGATAAATTGATACATGCCATCAGGGCTGATGGATCAATAATTTGGCTCTGACTCCAGACCAGGCTGTCCGTCTCGACGAGAAAACCCCAGGAAAGATCTTCCAAAGACTCTGAAGTTTCTAGAAAAGCCATTGGCTGTTTCTTTCCTATCCACATCCTTCCTACCCCTCTGAGCAGAGCTCTTGTTCCCCAAGCCAGAGTCTCACTGCCGAGGTGCCCTGCTCAGAGGTCGGGGGTCTAGCGGGTGGATCAGTCTTGAACTTGGTGGCCTGGCCTCCTGCTCCCTCGGGAGATGAGCTCCCACTGCTCATCCCTCCACCTTCTCCCTTCCTCCTGTGCCACTGCAGAGGAGGCTGCCGGTGAACTAAACCCAGATCCATGTGACTTACACAAAAAGCCAGAACTGAGGGGCCACACGTGTGGCATTGTGGGGACCTGACAGGCTGGACTGAGGGGCTGACCACATCGTCCAGGCTTGGTCTCTCAGTCCCTGGGCTTACTGTCACCTGGGTTGGCGCCCCCTCAGGGGGGATCTGTCCCTTGGAGCTCCCCCGAAGCACAGTGGAAAGGCCTTCCCGTCATGCTCTGGAAGTCCCCAGTGGAACCTCCTGGGCCTACTGGGCCCTTTGCCTCCTGAGCAGCCACAGGCTGGAGCCAGGCAGGTGGGCATGCGCGGGTTCCCCGCGGGAAGTCCGGGTGCTGTGCCCAGAAGCGGAGTGGGTGTGGGGCAGGCCACGGAAGCCCCCTTGCCCGGCCACAGTCTGAGCACAACCCCAGACTCTGTACCAGGCCCACACCCTCCGTGCTCCCTGAAACGCTTCCCAAGTGTGGCTAATCCACTCGGCCTTCCCTGAGCCCCTGTGCCGCCTGGGGACCATTCCCACCTCCACACTCCCAGTGTGGCTCTAGTAGCCTGTGTTGAAACCATATGAGGACCTGCATCTCTTCCTGCTGGGTTCTTGGCTCCCCAGAGGCAGGACTGGATCCTTTGTGCCCCTGTGCCCTGGTCTCTGGCTCCTGTAGCTGCTCGGCCTCAGTTACGATGGGGTTCATCCCCATAAACCTGCTGGAGACTAAAAGAATTATAAGTCAGCAATATGCTTACCGCACCCAACCCCCTGAACAAGCTGGCTTCCCAACACAGCACCCTGCAGAGAATCCGCCAGCCCTCTTGTGATCTCCGCTGACTGGCTGCCTGCTATGGCTCCCTGCTGCTGTTCATCAGGGTGAGAAAGGAGCACTAGCCTGAGAAAAGAGCAAAGTTCAAAGCGTGGTTTCTCCTGGATGTCGCTTGTGCACCATGGTAAAGTCAGAAAACACTAAGTCAGACTGGCATTACCTGGGGACTGCTGTCGCTGTCAGTGGCATCGCCTCCCCTGGAGGGAGCTTCGCTCGGCTGTGCCCGTGTGGGCTTACCCGTCCCCGCGAAACAGTGGAGTACCGCTCCTCGGGTAAAGCCCTTTGGCGCACACAGCTGTGACACGCGGCCTGGGTCAGAGGAGACAGCAGCAGGAGGAACAGAAGGGGGCTGCGCCACATCCCCACGAGGCCACAGTCGCAGTGTCTTCACCTGAGGGATACGGGAGGAAGCATCCAGGCAGAGCCACCCGACTAACAAGTGGGGAAGCGGTGGCCCTCGGGGCAGTGTAATCGGATGTAGCTGCAGTGAATAGCAATTTAGCAAAACCCATTAAATTTCCCAGCAAGCTCATTCTTTGATCCAAAATCCCATGCCCAGCAGTTTGTCCACGAGAGACAGCGCACAGGTGAGGAAAGATCTAGGTAGAAGCTGAGTACTGGGGTGTGACTTGCAATTGGGCAGGATTAATGAGACCCAAATGCATTTCCTCGGGGAACAAGCCCATTAGAGCACATCTAAACAGTGGAATATTAGGTCCAAGAAGTTAGACGCCTCCACAGTTAAGCTTAAAAAGATGAGTGAAAACTTGTGATCTCACCGTCAGTGTTTTTAGATATGATGGAGGCTGGGGCCGTAGCTCAGCAGGAGCTCTGGAAAAACCTGTCCAGAACCCTACATGGATCCCAGCACCACCAGACGAGAAACCAATAAATAAGTAATAAAAAGAAATACATCACAAATACAAAGACACCTCTTAGAGCATCCT